GAAGGCAGCACTGCTTACGTTGATTGGCAGTGTGATCGCAGTGGGAGGAGCTTCTAGTCAGCAGATTGTGAGGAATTTGGTGCCGTACTTGGTTGAATTCATGAGTAGTGATGATTGGGCTGCTAGGAAATCCAGCGCAGAGGCTTTACAGAGGCTTGCGGTAGTCGAAGGAGACGCTTTATCCGAGTTTAAAGCCTCGTGCTTGAAGACTTTTGAAGCGAAACGATTCGATAAGGTTTGTCCAATTACATTCAATTTGTTCGAATTACTTGAACGAAGTTAATTGATTTCTCACATTGCCTGTTTACTATTTGGTACATGTGCAATTTTGCCTGATAATTAAAGATGGATTTGATTAATTGAACAGGTAAAGGCAGTGAGGGAGACAATGAATCAAATGTTGGAGGCATGGAAGGGAATCCCTGATTTGTCTGATGATGGTTCCCCTCCTCCCCAGTCAAATTCCTCTTCCAAAGGTATTTAATCTTTACTAGCTTTTCACTCTTATCATTTTTTCCCCAGGTTATACCAGTAGTTGATATAACTGTATCCAGCTTCTAGTTCTTTATTTTTGTCCTTTGATTAACTTATTGTTTTTTTTAAAGAATATTACGTTTTAATTTTGTCCGCGATTATAATATAAGTTTTAATTTACCTTTTTCTTAATTTTTTGTCCTGGGGAGGATATGTTTACCCTTGAATTTTCTGATTTGGTTTCTCTTGTGCTACATGAAGGATTATCATACAAGAAGTTGGCTGTTAGTTAAGTACTTGTTTCATATTGCCTCGTTCCTCCGTTTGTGCAGTCAGCATGAGTTTGCTACTGGTCTTTATTTTATAGTTTGCTGATGTTGTTTTATCTTAGTTTAGTTTAGTTGCTTCCTTATTTTATTTTTTACATGAGGTAGTGTAATTGCTTCTTAAAAATACCACAATTTTAATCTTTTGCATGCTCATTACTTGTGAAATTGAATAATTTAGTATGTTTTACATGTTGTGTCCTCGAAATAGAAATTGCAAGTGATGGACGTTACCCGCCTGGTTTGAAGACTTCCAGGGCTGTGAGCTCCAGTACCCCTAGTGTAAAAAGACCGGCTAACAAGTCTTCTATAGCAGATGATTCAACTCCTTCTGCAGCCCGAAAAGGTCGTCCTCTGGACAGTAGTGAAAAGAAATCAAGTCCAGCAATCTTTCGCAAACTTGATCGTAAGAAGCCATGGAAAGTTGAAGTTTCTGCTTCTCATGGTTCTTCTGGGACCATCGCTTCCGAGGATGATCACCAAAATAAAGATGGGATAAAGTTGGGCAAAGACAAGTTGGAAACACATGCAAGACCTGAAGTCAAACGGACTCTTTTCAGTAAGATCACTAATGAAACCAAGAATGGTGTGGTGAAAACTGGATCTCGTGTGGTTCCGTATCAAGATGAGATATCAGAAGCTAATGTAGTTGTGAGTAATGGAACTGGAGATCTCTGTCGGAACCCAAAAGATTGTGAAGATCTCTCTTTGATCCGAAAACAACTGGTTCAAATTGAAACTCAGCAGTCCAATTTGTTAGAGCTTCTGCAGGTAATTTTCTAATAGTTGATGATATTCCGCTTTTATAATTTCGATTTCTGAGGGGAGTAGTGTAGAGTAAATGAAAATATTAGTTAAAAAAAACACAAAGTATCACTAATTCTCATTAACTTGCCTGCACTTTTTATTTGTTTAATGTCAGAGTTTCTTTCCTTGCTTCCAAAGATATACTGGAAACATGAAATGTAAAACGAGTTAAGTCCTTGTTTAGTACCTACTCTTACGCAACAACATATGCTTTTACTTCAATGATTTAATCCGGCAGAGTTAATCCCAAACTTTTTGACTTTCTCCGGTTTTAGATTAGTTCCTTTTGATCTTGATAAAGTAATGTATTGGTTCCCTTGGATCAAAATGTTGCTATATGCAGCCCTCATGGTTTCTTTGATAAGCTCTTCCAGCCTAATGATCAATTTGTAGGATTTTTAAACGAATATATTGAGCTTATAGAAATGCTCCTGATAATTATTTCATAAATCTTAGCTCTCCTAATTAGACCATAGATGTCCTTGAGTATTTTTCTCAAACTTCTCTTCTTGTATTTTTAGAAATTTATGGGGAGCTCACATAATGGCATGCGTTCTCTGGAGACACGTGTTCATGGTCTGGAGCTGGCATTAGATGAGATCTCATTTGACTTGGCTATGTCAAATGGAAGGATGTCAAAAACCAACTCTGCAGCCACATGTTGCAAGCTACCAGGTGCAGAATTCTTGACTTCAAAACTTTGGAAGAGAACAGAAGGTCGCGCCGCAACTTCACACTTTTCTGCTTCTGGTGGAGCCTCATCAGCAGGTGATATAAGCAACAAAGCTGGTGAGCATGGAAATGGTGAAAGATTTAAGTTGGAGCATAGGAGATATCGGCTCCACAGTAGTCGTGGGTTTATTGTGAACCCATTAGCTGAAATTCATGGTGACCCTCAAGGAATTTCCGAACCTGCGATTGGTGGAGCTTCAAGAAATTTGCGAAATGGTGTATGATAGTTTATGTCAGGTATTTTATAAATATCTCAACTTCTTTGTTTGCATTAATTGCCAGCATGTCTAGTAGAGAAAATGGAATTTGTGCTTCAGATGCAACGGGCACATATATGGATAAAATTTTGCAATTGGGATTTGGATGCATAGTCAGTTTCTGGTGCCTATTTTGGGCTACCCTTCCCTGACCATGACATGCTTTTAGGGAATCAGTCATTCACGAGCACAACCACTGATGAAGGATTCCTCGAAAAATTAAGGATTAGTAATCCTTTCTAGAAATTGAATGGAAGAGCCTGAGAGAAGAATGACCACACAGAACACTTCTTTTCGTCATTACTTTTGTAACTACCAACTGTACTGTCCTCCTTTAATCCACTGCCCATTATTTTTCATGTGAGGGGTTGTTGGGAGGGTTGCAATCTTTGTAATTAATGCACACCAGGGATATCAACTGATATTCAGAAAGAACATGTGCAGTTGTTAAAACTTTGTAGCTTACACATTTGCATTACAGAATTTATTACTTCGCACCTCGGCCCCCATTTGTGTGCTTACTACTATAGTGGACCTCTTAAAAATATCTGCAAAAGAAGTGGTGTACAAATGTTTACATAATTTTCACAAGTATTTCTTGACTGGAGGAACATACACTGAAGCTGTTTTCCATGGTTGCTTCTGTTTCCAGGCTTTGGAGACTGGATTGAAGACCGAGTTTAGTAGTCAATTCAGCATGGACTGAACATTATAATAGGATGTAAAGAATGAAGCAGGAAGCAGTTTCTTACTAGAACTTCTACTATAATTGTGGATTTATATTGGGTTGTTCATTCAGAAAGCTTTGCCAAGTAACTTAGAATTAGTGTTTACATTTTGATGTCTTTGTTTTGATATTACTAAGAAGAAAAGATATTGGGGAAAAAAGAAAGCCAGACCACTGAATGGCAGGTCTGATATGAAAACTGGCCATGTATAGAAGGATATTTCGTTTATTTCATTTTTTGCCAGGAATTGGATTCTATTCTTTTTTTATGCATTGTCATCATACAGTTTGAAATGATATCAGAATATCTAAATGATTATTGGCAGTGTGTGTCTATATTGATGAACCCATGCTAGTGCTACAGTGTAATCCTGCTTCCACTTTTTGGAGTCTTGTGAACCTTCAAAACTTTGGTGAGGGCATGAGTGCCCTCCGCGCAACACATATACTTAGTTGAAGAGTCCCAAAAGTTGGTTAATTACTCGGTCCAGTGTTACATATAGTAGTCAGTCACATAAAGAGCTGTGTTACGACATGACCCAAAAAAGGAGAGACAACTGCTACAAAAACATTTGAAACTTGGTTAGACCAAGCTTAGCATGATTTCTTACCAAATCAACTTATTGTAAGACAAATGTATTTGTTTGTACAAGCTTGAATTTTTTTTTATATTCACGATCTTTCCAAAGAGACCAAAACTTCCGGCAGTCGTCTCAACAATCAACCACAATTGAAAAGTTCAACCAACAGGACGGCTTCATCATTATGCGGCCAACAAAATGGCTGTAATATTACTTGTATACCTTTTTTGGTCCAATGTTAAAGTAATCTCACTTGTATATAAGTATTGTCTGATCTCTATAATAGTGTCCATATATAATAACATTTTACTAAAAAAGTCAAACTTTTCCGGAACCAATTTTCATGTTATGTTATAATATATGTTTTCTATAACAATATTTCTTTACAATATCCAAAAATATTTGGAACAAACGATGTTTATAGAGAGGTTTGATTGTAAATTATTTTGCAGTTTCAGCCATTTTCTAAGCGGATAACTAAGTTTTGTGTGGGGGG